CAACTATCCTTAGGGACCTTAAGCCAAGTGAAATAACCAGTCCCCAGAAGTAAAGATACTGTATGATCCCACTTACAATAAAGAACCTGGAAGTCAGATTCACAACACAGCGAGTAGAATGGGGGTGGCCAGGGGCGGAGGGGAGGGAGAAATTGGCTACTGTCTAATGACCACAGCTCCAGTTTTGCCAGATGAAGAGTTCTGGAGGCAGGTATGGTGCTCTAAATGTACATAAGGCCACTGACCAGCACCTTTTAAAAGTGGCTAGAAAAAAAAAATAAAAAAAAAATTAAAAAAAAAAAAAAATATATATATATATATATATAAAAACATGAATGTATAGGTAAATAAAGGAAATGTTTAGTAGCTTTAAAAAGTAATAATAATTGAAACCCCGAAAGTGCATGGGGCTTCCTGGGAGAGAGAAAGTGATCGAGGAGGACTCACAGGTGGGGGACAGAAAAAGGGAGCTAAACCAAAGAAGGAGAAACATGTGGCACGAGAGATGGACAGAGAGAGCATGAAAGAACCTGTGCCATGATCAACAAACCTTCGGAAAGTAGCAACAAGAGGGAGAGATCATTCAACAAGCTGGCTGAATTGTTTTTCCTCTAAGCAAGCACCCGTCACAGGTGGTGACCATCTAAATGGGTTTTTTCAAAGCTGGCCAAAGAAAATGTCAGGTGCAAGAAGACCAGGCCTGCATGAAGAGTGACCGGGCATCTATTCCTTTGTCATCACCCTCAAGGCAAATAGCAGTTCAGTGGATTCAACCAGGGGGAAGGAAGGGGAGGGAGGAGGGACGGGAATGCGAAAGACAGTAGAATGGATCAGACATCACTTCCCGATGCTCATATATGAACACACAACCAGTGTTAACTCCACAAGAATGGGAAGTTAGACTCCATGTATGTAGGATATGTCAAAATATACTCTGCTGTCATGTAGATCTAAAAAGAACAACTTTTTAAAAAGATGTTTGCCTGCATGAACTACAGTGGTGTATTTGTCAATTCAGAAGTGGATTTCTTAGCTAAGGTGGAAATTCAGTAACGTGGAATAAACAGCACTTACACACCCTAGGCAAAACCCCAAGCCAGGGGAGGGTAAAAGATGGTCCCGGAGAGAAGAGATTCCAGAAAAGAACAAACAGTCACTCCACTCTGACTTCACTTGGGGAGATGACATGCAACTTGTGACCCATTCGGTGATCACGTTAAGACCTACAGAGGCATTTGAGCAAAGATCTTGGCTCAACATCTGGGGACAGAATTCCTCTTAGGAACAAAATTATTTTCCCACTGCAAAGTGCTTTTGGGAGTCTGGAGATGTCAGACTAGAAAGCTTAGCTCCCAAAAGGCAAGCTAACAGAAGAGAAAAATGAAATGGAGCCACACCAGCCCAGGGAAGAGAGGACAGAGGAGGCCAGCAGACTGCAGGGGTGCCCACGACTGCTGGGAAGAGGAGCTTCTCACGGGCCACTAAGTGCGACTATCATAAATATGTATGCGTCCATCTCCTAAAATGCTGGTAAAGAAGGGAGGTTTGGGCAAAAATTAAGGAACAAGTATGAATTCCGAGTTGGCACACTACCAAGGTAGCCATAAAAGGAGAGGCTCTGGGCAGATACAGAGAACAAGAAGTGGCTGGAGAAAGAAAAATGGAGCCAGCAGCAACCAAGACACCAGGAAGCCCCTGGTCACCATCTGGGTAGGTCACTGCTGTGGCCAAAACATTCACTCCAAACCCAGGTGGAAATTGAACTGCCAGTGTTAAGAGGTGGGGCTTTTGAGAAGTGATTAGACCATGAAGTCTCTGCCTGCTTGGATTACTGCTGTTGTGGAGGGAGTGGGCTAGTTATCATGGGAGTGGGCTTCAGATAAAAAGGATGAGTTTGGTCCCACTTCCTCTCTGACTCACACATGCTCACTTCCCCTTCCACCAAGTTGTGATATAGCTCAAAGGCCCTCACCAGAGTCGGTACCAAGTCCCTGGACCTCCCAGCCTCCAGAACCATGAGCCAAATAAGCTTCTATTGCTTATAAATTATCCAGACTGGGGTATCCTATTATAACAGGGGGTGGGGAAAAAAAACAGCCTAAGACAGCTACCTTGAAAGACTAGCTTAGTTGTACTGAAGTTGTTGCAATAGCTAATCAATCTTTTTAGTCATATACCACTATCACAGTCCAATCTCCTACAATCTTACACAAGTTGTAGGGGTGAGAGAATGATCCACAATGTCAAGAGAAGCCAAGAGACCAAAGAAAAAGACAACTAAGGGAAAGTCATCAGGTATGAAAAATGGCAAGTCGTTGATGATATTGGAAGGGGAAATTTTAGCAGGAATGGGGCCAGAGTAGTGGTGCCAACTGTGCACTGCACAAAGGCAGCATATCTACTGGGTCCCACACCCTTCCTAGTCATTACAGATTGGATGTTTATGACAGTTTTCCAGGCAAAGGAAAAAAAAAGTGTCTTAAGGGATGGGAACTTTTCTTAATTGGCACAAAGGTAAATTATGGGCTAGTAGCAACCTTGATTAAAAAAAAAAAAACAGTAGGCACATGGCAGGAAAATTATGAATGAGAAGTTAAGAAAGAAATTTAAGCCGTACACTTGGAGCTCCAATATGGGGAAATAAATTATTTATCTTTTGCTGCATTACAAATTACTTAAAGCTTAACAGCTAAATAACAAACATTGTCCCTCAGCTTTGTGGGTCAAGAGTCCAGACACAGTTTAGCTGAGTAAGCCTGACTCAGAGTTTCTTATAAGGCTGCAGTCATCTCAAAACTCAACAGGGCAAAAGGATCCACTCCCAAGCTTCCTCACAGGGAGTTGGCAGACTTCCATTCCACATAGGCTATTGGGTTGAGGGTCTCAACTCCTTAACACACCTTGAGGGTGTCTCCATAGGGTTTCTCACAACACAGCAGTTCGTGCCAGTCCCCCAGTAGAGGAATCCAAGAAAGAAAGGAGGAGAGGACTCTGAAGAGGAGGAGGAGTGAAGGCCCAATACAGAAGCCACAGTCTTTTTATAACCTAATCTCTGAAATGACATTCTATCCCTTTTGTTGCATTCTATTCGCTGAAAGAGCTGAGGGGAAGGGAATGACACGGGTCTGTGAATACTGGGAAATGGGATCATCTTAAATTTGCTTATCAGGATGTGAAGGCTCAGCCACTCTTTCAGAAAGCAAAAATTTTCTCTCATCTTTGGGGTGAAATAATCAAGATCCAAAAAGAATTCAGGAAAAGGTCTAAGTTAACTTTAAATAAGAACCAGAGTAGGTTCCAGTTAGTAACCCAGTGGCTGAATTGAGTAGATGACAGAAATAATGGCCATTGACTGACACACAGCAGGAGCCTGGTCATCAGCTTCACAAGGCTTTATTCAGCTTTGGCGTCCCAAGCAAGTTGCCCGCACCTACCTTACTGGGTATGAAGAAAGTTCACAAATGCCAACCACAGGTTTCTTATCCAGAATGAACAACTCATGTAAAAATCCAAAGAGGCGTTCAAGGAAAACAAAGAGCTTCACAGACAGGCGCTGCTTCTGCTTCCTGTGTGGGCAGGACCTCTGATGCTGAGGTGAGGAGGTAAGAATACTCTCCAGATCAGCCAGTAACAGGCAGAACCTGTTTCCAGCACTCCCAGGGCTCCTCAGGACCTGGACAAGGGGCTGGGCTGGAGGCTGCCAACTAGTCCCAGATATGGAACTTCTAGGTGGAGGGTTGCCCCACTCCCACCCTGACTCACCCAACATGGCACCCGCCCTTTCTTCTACCCTTCTGGAACACAGAGAACCACCAGGATGATCGAGAGGTGTTTCCAATGTGGAATGAACATACTATTAGACTAGAGACAACTGCTCCAGATTCTTCTAAAGGGTCCTGGAATTTCTGAACTACTGCTGAGTTGATTCAACTTCATAAATATTTATGGAAGCCCTGTTAGGATGATGGGTCAGATCCAGGCCATGGGTTGCCTCAGAGGCCAGGCAAAGACAGAACAAGATGAACCAAGAGCTCCTGGGCATAGTGACAGGATATTGCCTGAGGTTGTAGTTGGGCGGGGGTGGGGGGCAGTTCAACCAGGAAGGAGATGTGCAAGTACCATGAACACAAATGTCAACTCGGAGACTGGCATGAAATCAGAGCAAAGATGTAAGGGAGCCAAGGCTGACGCTCAGCAGTTCCAAGTGAACAGGAAAGGCAGAGCTCAGTGCTGACCAGAGAGTAGGCCAGGAGCCAGCTTGTGTCCCTGAGAGCAGGGGTTAGGTCTGGCTTGCTTAGCATCCTATCCCACAGTGATAAATTTAGGTGCTGAAGCCAGGGAGGAGAACACAAGGTATGGACCGTCATATAGACACCAAATCAAGATCTGGAGTCCAAGGTGGAAATCAGGAAACAAGCAGAGACTGGTTTTCAGGCACAGAGGCTGGGAAAGGCAGCTCAGGACCCAGAACAGATGAGTGGAGACACTTACCAGCTCAAGTTATAAATACTGATCCTAGGGCATTCTTGGGTGTAATTGTAGAATTAATTAGTTCTAGGATTAAGAATTTGCAGCCAGGGCTGGGGATGTGGCTCAAGCGGTAGCGCGCTCGCCTGGCATGCGTGCGGCCCGGGTTCGATCCTCAGCACCACATACAAACAAAGATGTTGTGTCCGCCAAGAACTGAAAAATAAATATTAAAAAATTCTCTCTCTCTCTCTCTCTCTTTAAAAAAAAAAAAAAGAATTTGCAGCCATCTTTCTGCTTCTGCTGAGGACTGAAAATGTCTGTCTTGCTTACTGGGTATCCCCTGACCTAACACAGGGCCTGGTAAGAAATAGCTGCTCCGTAAATATGTGTTGAGGGAGCAACTGCTCCCAGAGCAAGTGAAAATCTGCAAGGGAAGTAGCACATATCTACATCAAGGTCAATGCAGAAACAGTTTTTTGTTGTTGTTGTTGTTTATTTTTATCCTCCCAGGTTATAGGTAATCAGGGGGAGGCAATAGAGCCCAGATTTCAAGTTGAAATCAAATCAACCAGTATGATACAGACCTTGTATTCCATAGTCTGAATCTTCTTCAGATTAGAGAAAGGATTGAAATGACCACAGCCACTCACCTTGCTCGGGATCTCATTTCCAGATTGTGGGTCTACCTAGGTGCAAACCAAGCTAACACCTTCAACACGAGATGGTAGCTTATTCCCTCTACCCATAACTAGGCCTTGAGCAAGTCATTTAAACTGTCTCAATGATAGCCTTAGACTATTTCCTCATCTGTGAATGGAAGGCATTTGACCAGAAAGAATACCTTTTCTGGTATTCTGAGATTCAATTATTCTGAGAATATGGATCATGTTGGGCCCACCATGGAAACATGCAATGGCTCATCTGTTTCTAACGAGAACTGGAGTGGGCCTAGAAGAAATGCCACGTCCACACCCTCTGCTTTCTGTTTCCATGGAGTCTGACTCTCCTGGAACTCTGTGTCTGTGGAGGAAGCTGGAGCATATTTCCTGTAGGCAGTTGCTTCTGTTTCCTCAGCCCTCTGGGGAAGAGGAGCATGACAAAGCTGAAAACTCTCTGGATGGGAAAATGAGGAGACCTGGGTGTTGGCCCCAAACCAGGATGTGAGGCTTGGCCGTGCACCGTTTGCTCATCTGCCGTGGACAGAATACCTGCCCACCAACGGCTAAGGCTCCTGCAAAAAGAAAAGACCCCTTTAAAGCATCAAGAGTTAAAACAGGTGTGTAGTACTGTTAGGGAATGAATGGTGGGATGCAAGAGAATGAGTGAGGCAAATGGTCCATATTTTGGAAATTTAAAGGACTCTTAAAGGTTTGTACATTCTGTAGAATTAAGTTTAAAGCAAGACTTTGTAAGTGTCTCTGGGAAAAGGTGATGTGGTGTAAATGTCAAGCCATTAAACCAGAGGATCACAGTTCCAATTCAGCGTGAGCATCTCATTTCATCTGAGTGTCTATTTTTTTCTTCTATAAAATGGGTATAATCTTCTTGCCCTGCCTGTTTTCCAGAGTTGTCACAGGTCAACCTTGATTGATCAAACTTGATCAAATGATCAAAAAGAGTCATGTTTCCAGTAGACACACTGAACATAACTTTCCTATGTTCATATATGGATATACCACCAGTGAAACTCCACATCATGTACAATCACAGGAATGGATCCTAATTAGAATATATTATACTTCATGGATGTATGACATGTCAAAATATACTCTACTGTCATAAAAAAAAGTCATGTCTGTAAAACTATGGCCTACTGTCAAGGTTCACAAAACTGGGTATCTTAGTCTGTTTTCTGTTGCTATAACAGAATATCTGAGACTGGGTAATTTATAAAGGAAAGAAGTTAATTTTGTTTATGGTTCTGGAGGCTGGGAAGTCCAAGAGCATGGCATCAGCATCTGCCCGGCTTCCTGGTGGTGAAAGGCAGGGAAATGGCTGCATGCAGAAGAGACAGAACAAGGGGAGCCTTGCTCTATAACAACCTGCTCTCACTGTAACTAAGCTGTCCTATTGAGAAAGGCACTAATCTCTCTTAATAACCTGATGTCTTTTGAAGGATCCACCTCCCAACACTGCCACAATGACATTCAAATTTCATCATGAGTTTCAGAGGGAACCAACCATATTCAAACCATGGCACAGGCATCGGTGCTACTGATGAGTTGGGCTATTTGTAGGGGCTCTAGCGATTAATCCTGCCGAGTCAGGGAAGCACAGTCCAGCTTGCAACGCCAGCTCTCAGAGTACGCGGAATAGACAGAAACGTGCATGAGCTGACTCGTGTGCGTCTTCAGGCTTCACCTGTCCCCATAACTTGCCCCTCCTCCCTAAACTAGAATCCCTCCTCTGGAGTTCTATTCAGGGTGGGACAGCTCAGAGCAAAGGAGTGTCTAGGCAGGGGGCAAGTAGAGGCCACAATCCAATCCAATCTCCACCGACCAAGGCCTGTGCCTGCCCAGAGGGAGGGGCTTGGAAGGGGGGGCAGGAGCTACCATATGGGCCAGCACATCCCTTCACCTGGAGGTCAGAAAACAAGTTATCAGCGTTTAGATGAACAAATGCTACCTGGAATGGGAGGGTACTATCTCCCAGTTGTAAATACAATCTGACCCTGGAGAGAAGAAATGCCAACAGGTGGATTGTGTGTGTGTGTGTGTGTGTGTGTGTGTGAGAGAGAGAGAGAGAGAGAGAGAGAGAGAGAGTCAGCTTTGCGTTGCTGTGACCAAAATACCTGCCAAAACAACTTAGAGGAGGAAAAGTTTATTTTGGCTCACAGTCTCAGAGGTTTCAGTCCACAGTTGGTGAACTGGGCCTGAACAGCATCACGGCAGAAGAGTGTAGCAGAGGAAAGAGGCTCAATTCATGGTGGCTGGAAAGCAGAGAGAAAGAGGAAAGGGGGCTAGAGAGCCCTTCTACGGCACATCCCAGTGACCTTGCTCCAACAGCTCCTAGTAGTCCATTCAGCTATCAATGGATTCATCCACTGACGAGATTAGAGCTGTCAGGATCCAGTCATTGCCTAAAAGCCCCACCTCTGAACCTTGCTCCACCGGGGACCATGCTTTTATTTATTTATTTATAATATTTTTTAGTTGTCAATGGACCTTTATTTTATTTATTTGTATGTGGTGCTGAGAATCGAACCCAGTACCTCACGCATGCTAGGCAAGCGTGCTACACCAGCCCCCGACCATGCTTTTAACACGAGACTTTGAGGGGCATTCCAGACCCAAACCATTCCAGTGTGTGTGGATGTGTGTGGAGGAGAGACAGAAACAGACCCAGAAAGAGCGTGTGTGCATGTGAGAATGCATTCTCAGTGCACACCCTCAGTACATGCGTACACACACACCCATTCTCACTTGTGTGAGCCTTAGTCCTTGAGGGCACAGCAGGGGAGGGAAGTGGGGTGAGACCCACCAGGAAGCCCAGTGTCAGCCTTGGGAACTGGGAGAACAGCTGGACAAGAGGCTAGAACAGCGAGGTAATTATCTGGGATTGAGGGAAGAGGCATGAATGGCAGTTTGACCAACACAAACTCACCTGACCTCATAATCTTGCCTAAGGTCAACCTTCCAGCTTAGACAATAGGGAAATAACAACAGCATGTGACACTGCCCGAAGAGCCACTGGGCTCTGTCTCTTGACCTCCAAGACAGGCCTTCAGCCGTGGCCCAGAGCACTTGCCAGACTTTCCCACCACTCCTCTTTTTGGCACTGTGGTCAGAACCCTGAGCTCTACTGGGTGACTTCAGTTAAACATGAACAAACAGTCCCGGCCATTTCAAGGTCACTTGTGGAATTGTGTCTAGGAGGACCTGGGTGACTCCCACACTTCTCCTTTTGCTGCAAATGAGATGGCTTATTGTTTGAGGCTTGAGAATCCTCCGGGGAGTTCTGGGAACTGGATGCTGGACAAGGCAATAAATAGAGATGGCAGAACGTGCCCTTCTGCCCTTCTGCCCTTCGTGGGAAGGGAAGGAGCTCTGCCTTCAGGGAGGGCAGCACAATAGCCCACGAGTGCAGCTTCCTATAAACCTTGCCTCGCAGGCTCCAGCACCGAGGGTGCGGTCCCCTTACAGCAAGAGGGCAGAGCCTGCGGCCCAGCAGCTCCCCAGCTCCTAGACAAGCTGCAGGGCACAGACAGGGGCTCTCCTCCCAGTGGTAGGAAGGCTCCAAACTAGCCCTTCCCTGGAGCCTCCATTCCTTCACCTCTGGAGCCTGAGGAACTGATCCAAGTGAGAAGGAAAAGGGAGAAGACACCTATAGATAAAGCACACACTCTCCCTGGACTGAAATGCTCCTGGCTCCCAACCTTGTGGGTCTGGATGAAAGCCCAGGAATGAACCCTGCAAAGTGTTTTTTAAATAGTTCCTTCGATTTGCATGTAAAATTGATCCAAAGGTTAAAGAGACACCTCTTTCCAAGAATGAATGCAATGATATAGCACAACGGATCCTTCCAGGCCTTGTTGACAGCTCATTCACATTTCTCATCCCATCGCTGTGCTTTTTGGTATGTCTGAACCTTTATGGGACAATGGGAAAAAGAAACAAGAAGAGAAGCACTCAGCCATGCTCTTGAAGTCACCTCAGTGGGCAATTCTCTGTCTTGTTGTCAGGGTTCCTCTTAGGGCTCTCAGATCACTGTGACATGCTCCCCCCCCAACATTTGTGGGGCCCAGTACAAGACTACAAATGTAGCCCCACATATGAAGTTCTAATATTTTAAAATTATAGATCAAGCTAACAACTTAAATAAAATATGTCCTACCATCCGTTCTTGACAAATATATATTCACAATGGCCTAGAAAACCAGATTGTAATTTAGAGTTCTCACCCTGTTTGGAATTCTGCTACACAGAGAGTGCCAGCTCCCGAATGCTCAGTCTTGGGCTCATAGACCTGTCTTCCCATCCAACTTAAAATTGAAGTAAGGATGAAGGTCCATCCCATGATTCCTAAGCGTTCAGATGGAGGCGGGCTGGCAGGCATGTGGGAATCAGGTTTCTCAATATCTTTTCCATTCCCGTAAGATTCTCCAGAGCTTCACAGTCCCCATTCTGCTTCTGAAGACCCTGCTCTTCAGTCCCCTTGATTCATGTGCTACTTCTCCTTGGTTCACTGGCCCTCCTAGGACCTGAATTTATTGTTTGACCTTGGGCAAGTTTCTGAATTTTCCAGGTCTTCATGTGCTCAACCATTTCCTCAAGTGAGCCTTCTGCAGAGATGACATCTGGCACCAAATAAGCAGTCAGTAATCAGCAAGAATTAGCATTGTTTTCCTGTCAAATGGAAGAGCAGAGAAAAAAAGAGAATGGCTACTCTGGAGCCAGATACCACCCTCTGCCCGACCCCCAGCCAGACACACCACTTCAGACCTGCCTCCACCTTCCTTTCTTCCTCAGTAGTCTTCCTTGCAGGACAACATGCTGCTCTTTCCCTGAGGACTTGGGACCTTGGCATGCTACACCAGGCACAGGACAGCTTGTAGTCACACAGCGTGGACCAGCCAGCCAGATTGCACCCCAGGGCCTCGTCAAATATTGATGCCATATATAAAGTCTTCCGAACACAATATGTGCTTCTCAAACAAGATCCTGCCCTTCCGTGACCCAAAGGAGGGTGAAGGTCTTTTGCATCCCTGAAGCACCTGCACACCTGGCCAATTTTGTTGCAAGTCAGGGGCAAACGTCACATGTGCCATCTCTTTCAAGGTAGGATGCAGAGTCCAGTTGCCTGAGTTTGGAGTTTTCCTAACCACCCTGTCCTGGTTCCTCCAGGAAGGGAAGAAAGGAAAGGTCCGGGGTAGACCTGCTACGTGGACTGAAGGGCAGGCATGCCCACCCACCGAATCCCACAGGATCCCTGCCAATAGGGAGCTGGCTACTGTTTACAGAAAAGGAAGCAAGGTGGGGAGATTGCAAGCAAGTGAAATTGAGCTCTAATTTCTGCATGAAAACCTGTGTACTTCTGCTGCCACCACTCAGGACATGAAGGATGTGGAAGGTTCCCATAACCCCAGGAGGTCTGTGCCCAGAACTATGCCTGGGGTCAGATATGCATAGCTATGCCAGTCTCCTCAAAAATTTCATCATGGATTAAGGAATAATTAAGGAGTAACTCCTTATGATTTGTCCCAGAGTGGAACCACATTAAGACTGGGAGTTCTCTGGCCCCTGCCAAGCAATCCCTGACCACTGCTCTTCTCCCACCCCTCAGAGGCCACCTTGTTTCTTCTTTTGCCCTGTCTCCTCTTTCCTCTGAGGCCACAGATTCAGAAAGGTCTGGCTGTGTGGGTAGGGGAGAAGGTACTGGGGAATGAAATACTGGGAGAAAACAAAACAAAATTTGATTCATACAAAAAATATTTTCCAGCCACATATGTATCATGTAATTATCTGCACATATCCACCCATAACCGAGAGAGTGAAAGTAGTTGATCTTCACAGAATAAATGTACTTGAGGGAAGTCTTACAGCAAGTAAACACTGACCAGCAGAGAGGAGAGGAAAGATGAATTTTTCTACCAAGCAAGCCAAGGGATTTCCATATCCTTCATAGGGCCAAAGAAGTTGAGAGGAGATAGTGAGATGTCTCCTTCGTGTTCTGATTCAATGTGGGCCACTAGGTTCATTCATTCTTGAGAACTTAGTACGTACCTAGTACTGGGGATTCAGCTGAGAGCAACACAGATGCTAAAGGCATACAGTAGGTCTAGGACTGCAGGAGCCAAGAGGACAGAGGATGTAGAAAACGGACAAGTGCCTGCCTCCCCATGCCCATTCCTCCTGGACCAGCTCAGGCCTTCGGGAGAAGCCAGCCCCTCCCTTGGTCTGACACTGCAGCTCAATGACACCATCCACAGCCTCATCTCCTGGTCAAGAGATTGCTTGACAGAGCCAGGAAAACTTGTGGACTTTTGACTTTGCTCAACTCTCTGACTGTCCCTCATAGAAAGAGGTGCAGCTGAGTGGGCCTGACCCTGAGCAGGGACTCTGGGCACCAACCTGTCATGGGGACTTGCAATTCCTTCAGCCCAACGACAGCCAAAAAACCCAACTCAGGATCACAGAACAAGAGGTGGGTTTTGCCAGGTGCCTCAGGGGAAGAGTTCCTTGCTCTTTGGAAGCAGTCTGCAAAATCCTTCTCTCTCCTGAGTGAAGTGAGATGCGTAAATGAAGGAGAGAGGGGCAGAGGCCATTTCCCCCTCTGAGGGGAAGGAAGCCCTGAAGCATCCTACAGAAGGCAGAGCAGAGGCAGGTTTTGTAGAAAAAGATATTATTTGTGTCAAGTCTTCCTGAGAGATCAACCAGATCAAGGAGTAAAACAGGGTCCTCAACTCTAGCATTAGATGGAGCAGGATGATCACCACACTGAGGACCTGGGAAGACACTGTTCCATGGTAAGGGAAATCAAATGGCTCCTTGCAAATGGAGTCCAAGGACCAGGATGGCCTTGGTCACTAAAGGAGGTCACATCGTGAAACAGCTCAGAGCTGTAGCAGCGGTGGCCTGGCCTGGAGTGCTGGTTCTGCCACTGAGCTGTATAATCATAGCAAGTGACTTCAACCTCCAAGAGCCTGTTTCCTAATCTAAAAATAAAGACAAATACACCAACCGCAAAAGGTAGTTGTAAGTCTCCAGCGAGGGAAAGCACTTGCCTGGATCCTGGCATGTGGTCAGCCTCCATGAGCATCAGCTGTGGCTGGGCCAAGTGCTCAAGGCCCAGACATTCAGGTGGATGCCATAGCCAAGTGTCCCCAAGGGCTGGCAGCTCCCAGGGGGAGGGGCAGATGTGAGGTCACATGTGGCGCTCTTGGCAGAGTGCCTGCTCACGTTGAGCCCTCAGTGCGCAGCAGCTGCGAGGAGCAGTATCAGTGTTTTAAGTCTCCCCTTCCTGGAGACTCTTTTCCCCTTCTATGGACCCCTCCACCGTAGACATAGGCCAGGCAGAGGAGGCGGAGCACTCGCCATCATCTCAGCCCCAGCCCCAGGGACCTGTGTCTCCTTGTATCAGCACAGCCCTGGACCTTAGGCTTGGCCCTGGAGTCTAGTTTGAAACCTGCTTCCCAGCACAACTCTCACATTCTTTCTGGGTAGAAGGGCTAAGAGGAGGTGAAGGGAGGGAATGCCAGACTTCATTAACTTTTTACAAACTTCTACCAAAAAAAAAAAAAAAACCCCACAGAAGAACAATTCCTCCTCAATGCTTGGGAAACACTGGCACCAAAGGAAAACTTTCATTTGGTTTTTATTCTGCTTTCCTCTTGGGAGACCCTGTAGTGCTAGTTAACCAGGGTGAGGATCTGTCCGAGCACCTGGGGACAGGAGTGAAGAATTCTGGGGGCAAGAGAGAGTTTGTTTTGTTGGGTTTGAAGTTGGCAAAACTCTCACCTTCCTACTATGTGCAAAACATAGTGTGGGGTTTACAACATTGGAACAGATTCAATTCTTGACTTTGAGGTAGGCCCTAAGAGTAAATAGATAGTGGGGAACACAAAGCATCAAGTAATCTGAAAGGAGGGTGCACCCCTAGACCACCAAGCACTCGTAATTAGCCTTAGTTTTGAAGGAGAGGCCGAACTGATAAGGGAAAAACCAGGTGCGGCTATGTGATCCCCTCTTCCCTCCCCCAGAGGCTTGGCCTTGGTTAAGGTCAAACAGGAGAGAGGATCCCCGCTTATCTGGGACACATCCGCTGCCTGCCTGCTGCAGACTGACCAACGTAACCCTGCCCGCCTTATCAGGAGTCCTGTCTGGCATAGTGAGGGTCAGCCCAGCAAGAAGGCCAAGAAAGAGGTTCAAAAGCCCCATCAGGAAAATGAACTGCTCAGGTCATTGATAGACTATAGCAACAGGCTTTTAGGTCACCCTGGTCACTAGGACTCTATTTCCATCCATGCTAGATAGGACTTGCACTCTGACTCTGAAAGCCAGCGCCTTCACCTGAAACACCTCGCCCTGGCCTCACTGCCCAAATCCTGCCCACTCTTTCAGGTCAGCCTCAAATACCCTTGCCCTCATGGAGGCTTCCCTGGTCTACCCATATATAGACAGTGATGTTAAAAGTGATGGGCAGCCAGGCATGGTGTCACCTGCCTGTAATCCCAGCAGGTTGGGAGGCTGAGACAGGAAGATCACGAGTTCAAAGCCAGCGTCAGCAATGGTGAGGCACTGAGCAACTCAGTGAAACCCTGTCTCTAAATCAAATACAAAATAGGGCTGGGGATGTGGCTTAGTGGTTGAGTGCCCTGAGTTTAATCACTGATACCAAAAAAAAAAAGGTGATGGGGGAACAGAGCAAGATAGGTGACATTCACAACACCGAAGACTTTGGTGTTGTCATCACCAATTTATTGTGTGTGTGTGTGTGTGTGTTTTGCTGGGGATTGATTCTAAGGCCTTGTGCATGCAAGGCAAGCACCCTGCCAACTGAGCTATGTCCCCAGCCCTGGTGTTATCATCTCTATAGGATAAATTTGAATAAGAAAAAGAAAAACTGAAGTCTAGGGGTTAATTCAAAGGAAAGGGACAAAACCATACTATAGCAAGAGCTGGGTTAAGCTCTGTATCAGCAACATAGTCCTTTCTTACAGGCTCAGTTTTCCCATCTGTAAATTGGTAGTAAGACCTGGGCTCCCTTCTAGCTCTGTGGCATATGAAGCTTTTATAATGTGAGGAGATGGTTATCCAAATTAACCCTTGGCATAGGATCAGCTAAACCTGACTGCAACCCATAGTCCTTCCTGAGCCTTTTGGTCCCAGCTGCCAGCTCCTGTGCCCATGTTGCCTGCACCATGCATGGGTGACTTTGTCATACACCATGAGGTTTGGAAGATTATGTCCCCCGCTAAGCCCACAGCCCCAGGAAGACTGAGGGTGGTATTGTCTTATGCTTCTCTGAGTTTTTCTCACAGCATCATGTTCTGTGAACAAACACAACAGAACTTCACTAAAGACATTCCGGATTTTAAATAACCTGCCAGGTGTGTAAGTCTGAGTTCCCCTGCCTGTGCAGGCCTGTCGTTGATGTCATGGGGGAACCAGGACATAGTCCCACAACAGGGCTTGGAACTGCATGGGCTTTGAGCTCTTGCCATAGCCATAGATCCCTTCTCTGGATTTTATGCCCCCAAAGGTCACTTCATGCCTGAGCGATGCTTAATCTCATCTGTAAAATAAGACTAGGATCTATGTGTTTTATTTTAAATTGATAAAATTCCATTTGATTGGTAATTTTTTAAATTGTAATCTTAATACAAGTCAACTAATGGGAAAAATGG